TGGTCAACTCATTAAGAAGACGCTTGTATGTGAAAAAGATTCAAGTAAGATGAATATGAAAGTAACCGATATTAATGACTGTAAAACACTGTATTATAAGTGTGATGAATGTGATTCAAAAATACTTTTATTTGATTTAATTGGACTTAACTTTAAAATGGACATTTGTGAATTATTAAAGAAAACATTTATTTTTACAGGAATCGATCATAAAAGAAATGAATTCTTTGATCTAGAAAAAAGTGAGGAGATTGAATTTGTTTTAAAATCAAAAGAGCTTGAGTTTTTATGGAATATGTTATCAATTATAGTAGGTAACATTTACGATGAAAATTATACTAAATTAGGCGGTGATGATATTAAAGTACAGGTAGTAGATGCGCCGTTCTTTAAATAATTCCGTTTTATTTAAAAGTAGATAGTTATAATCACCAAAACCATGACAATGAAATAGTAATGATAGTTGGTATTGAAGATACAGTTGATAGGAATGTGTTTATAAAAAGAGTTACTGGTCTTGATCATGAAAATGTTAAAGTTACACTAAAAGAACATATTAATCTTAAATCAAATATTATCAATAAGGAAAGAAAAGTTTATGTCTCTGCTTGTAAGGAACTTGGGCTTAATAGACTTACAAATGATAGTTATCAAAAAGATTTAGTTAAACCAGTTAAATTACACCTTAATAATGTTATAAGTGTAATGAGTCGTTTTAGAGAATTTCAGAGCGAGAGAGATGATTTATCATTTGAAGCGGATAAGATTGATTTATTTATAAAAGAATACTTATGAAAAAAGCAAATGTTAAGAATTAAATCTGGTAAGAATTATCAAACTATTGGATTTATTGATCTTTTAAAACACTTGTTCAAATTAAATTAAAAATATTAATAAATTTTATTTGTTTAAAATTTTACCCGGCCCAATGTTTGATTTAAAGAGCCCTCTGTAATAATTTACTTTAAATAAATTTTCTATTTCTTCGTTTTTATTTAAATTATACTTTGATGAGTCTTTATTAATGATTGCTCTACAAATATCAATTATTATTTTATATGGTGCATTTGTTTTAAAAGAATTAGCTGAATGATGAACTAAAGAAACTTGATATTCACTATTATAAAGTACTGACATCAGTTTTTTTAATTTGATACCTTCAAACTTAAATACTTTGCCAAAATCATGTAAATTATATGTAAATGGAATCCTTATTTCTTGTTTCATACATTTTAACATTCCTATTAACCTTTTATTTTCTCCTGTCTCAGTTAACTCATTTAAAACACTTGAAATAAATTCACTATTTTGTAGATTTTTGTTCCAAAATGGACCATAAAAATCCATTTGTTCTCCACAAACTTCACATAAATTGTTCTTTGTGTTGCTTTCTTTTCTGTTTTTAGAGTTACAAAAATAGAAAAAAGAATTTTGTTTTTTAGAATTATTACCACTTCCTCGTTTTACTTTAACAAACACTCTCAGGTAATAATCAACATCTAAACTAATCAAAGGTTCTATTGAACAATCATATTTAGCAGCTGTTCTCGATATATAACTTAACAACACTCTTAACTCCATTTCAGACTCATCAAAATTACACTTAATTTTTGTATCATATTTAACAAAACACTTACCCACAAAAGTATGTAATGATCCCCTATCAGTGCAAGTAAAACAAAGTAACCCGCCATTCTTAACGGCATTTATTGCAGCAGCAATAAAAACATTTGAACTTCCAAAAGGATCAATGTCAATAGCATTAAAACACCTAGAATTATTAAACATTAATGACACACAATCTTGTTGTGAAATATAAATTCTATTTTCATCAAAATTAAACTTATTTTCTACAAATTTATATTCTTTGATGTCATTTAGTTTTAAATTACATTTAATCATTTCAACAGCTTCGGGTAAAATATCATTAATGCAAATTTTAGCATCGTTTAATTCTTTATGTAATAAAATTCCTCTCAAACCAGATGCTTCCATTACTAAAAAAATGATTGGTTCTTTAACTGATTTAAAGTAAGTCTTTAATACAAGCTTTGTTAAATTTCTGTTAATCTCCTGTGCTGGATTATAAAAAGTTTCATCACTTTTAATTATTTTAATTGAATCTTCTATAATAAACTCGTCTGACATGTTTCTTGTAAAAGTTTTTAGTAAAAAAATGAAAAAGTTTATTTCTTCATAATCTCATCAAATAATTTGTTTGATCTCCTTAATTTATCTGCTATATCAAACAACTCTTTAACAGGCACATCACTAGAAGTTTTAAATACTTCTACAAAGTTATAAAAATTTGTATCTTTTAAAGTTTTCTTTTTAAGCAAAATAAAAGCAGCACAACAATAGTTTAGTAATTCAAAATGATATGAATCACTTAGTAGTTTGTCCCAAATATACACAACATCATCCATTTCATATAAACTTGTAAACATTTGAATAATCCATTTAATTGGGAATGCCATTTCTAAAACTTCCTTACTTTCCAACATTGTATAAAATTTAGGATCTTTTTCTTTAACAATTTTGTAGACTTCTTGAACCTTTTCTGTTATAATATCTGATGTTGGTGATAAAATTTCAGTAACAGGGTGGGTCATTTCAGCCATCAAGTTATGAAAAAGATAAAAAGCATCTTCTTATGCATACTTTTTATCATCTAAATCTTCACTTGTATACAACACATGATAAAGTGGTATTACCAAATTAATCATTCCTTGTATATACCCAAGACATTGGTTAGTTGCTATATACTTAAGCAAAATGTTCCTTATTGGCTCTTTATAACAATTGTATTTTTCATTAAAAACTTCTGTTCTTGCAATATCTTTATACAATTGGTCTTTTAATGTCTTTATTCTTTCATTGTCAGGTATTTTAATAGTATGATAAGATTTTCTATAAACAATATAAAATGAATCAGATTTAAACTTATTTTTTGGATGGTAACCTAATAGAATTTTCCAATATTTAGGTCTTAGCTTATCTGATTTAAAACCATAATAAATATAATTTCTAATCTCAGCTGAATTAAGTGGTATTGTACTAGTTGGATCCATTTGTGATGTTATTAAATACTCTAAAGAAATCTTCTGTTTAGTCGACATATAAAGGAGATTTTTGGTTTTATTTATATAGTAATCTTTTTATTGGTTATTTAGTTTCAAAAAAGGAATATAAATTTTATTCGTTATTACTATTTTCTTTAAATTTTTTCATTTTAATACCCGATGAAAATTCATTTAATAAAGATAGAAAATCTTTGGAGGATAAATTAGTACTGTTACTTCTGTGTTTTGATGGTTTAAATACTCTTGATGCCACGGAACCTTTAATATAATTATAAATAGATCTGTTTTGATCATATTTATAATCACATGAATCATTCGAGTTATTATGTTCAATATTGTCACTCATTAATATTAATGCAATAAATTTTTTAATTGATTTTATTTACTTTTCCTCTTTAAAATTAAAAACTCCTTTTAATGTCATGTCGATGTAAAGCATAAGACTTGACTTATCTTCAATTAATGCTTCTCTTTTAGAAATGTTTGTAACTGAAAGAATTTTTCGAGTAATTTTATCAGAAAATTCTTTCGAATCTACAACATTCAACTTACCAAAGTCTTTTTCATAATTTTTAGAGATTGACAATACAGCTGCATTCAATCTCTTATCTTGTTCAGAAAACTCCTTTATCTCGTCTTCCTTAACCAACCCATGATTCTTTATACTAATAGCATCTCTTTTAGCTGATTCAATTTCTCTTTCTCTCTTACTTCTATAAATAGAAAGTTCAAGCTGATTACCGTCAAGTAATACCTGTTTACTCATTTCAAGTGCTACAGCTGCTTCTTCAACTGTAGAGTAACAAACACATCCATAAAGCTTATCAGATGAGGTATGATCAACTGACAAATGGAAGTCGGTAATTGATCCAAACTCACTCAAAACGTTAAGAACTTCTTTTTCATTAAAAAAAGCAGGTACGTTTTTGATGTAAAGATTTCTCTTTAATTTTGGTCCCATCGCTAAACTACTTACTGAATCATCAGCAATCGATTCAATCCTACTCTTTCTCTTATCACTCTTAACAATGTAAAAATTCTCAACTTCAAACAAATCAGATTTGCCCATTTCTTCTTTTGTAAATAATTGTTTGTCATGACATTCTTCAATTGCTTTAGTAGCCGACTCTGGTTTCTTAAAATTGACACATGCAAATCCTACTGAGTTACCATTTTCTTTCAATGGGAAATAAATGTCTGTGATTTCACCATAAACTTCAAGTAACATACGTAAATCTTCTTCCGTGTATGAAGGTGGAAAATTTTTAACAAAGCAATTTGTAAAAACTTGTTTTTTCTCAGAATTTCTTATTTTCTTCTTTGGATCGTAATGTTCAACTCTTATTAAGTTGTCATCAACTTTAAACCCAATACATCCTTCAACTGCTTTATTAGCAGCTTCGATTGTTCTGTACTTAACAAATCCATAATTTTTAGACTTTCCATTAGCATCTGTTGCTATTTTACATGTAATAATGTCTCCAAACTCACTAAACATTGAATTTAAATCTGATGCCTTCATAGTAGATGGAATACCGCTAACAAATATGTTACCTTCTCCATGAATTTTGACTGCCGGATCATATTTACACATGATCACTTCTTTGCCATGAAGAACAGAGTAATTAAGATCTTTAATTGCTTTTTCCATTTCTTTTTCAGATGCAAATACAATAAAAGCATAACAGTACTGGCCATTTGGAGTTTTCTTTACAAATGTGTTTAAAACATTATAATCTTTAAATAAGTCCTTTATGTCAGCAGTAGTAGTTTTTAACGATAAATCTCCACAGTGTATTGTTGGTTGTTTCTTCTTTTCTTCGGAATTTATGTTAAGATTTTTAAGACTTGAAGTTAATTCTGAACTCATTTGTTTTTAGGGGTCAAAAGTTTTAATAAAAATTTAAATAAAAATAAAATTCTTTTGATTTGGAATTCAAAAGATCAAAATATAAGCCTAATTTAAGTTTATTAAAAAATTTAAAAATGATCTAAAAATGATGTGATTAAAAAAATAATTTACAAATTAAATATTCTTCAGGTTATTTTGATTTGATGAAAATTGTTTAAATTTAAAAGAATTTAAAGCCAAAATAGCAATAAATTTAACTAGTTTTTAACCACATAAAAATTCTAAGATCAAAATCAAAAGTAATTGATAATTATTATTTATTAAAATGAAATTTAAACATTTCTTTTGTTAACATCTTCCTTAATTTGACAAGACCACCCGCAGCTTGTATTTTTCTCTTACCAAATTCAACCGGGTCGTTAATATGCTTTTCGCTGGTGTATATTTTAAACCTTGGAATGTATGTTACTTTATTAATCTTAATAACATCACTAAAATTTTCGTGTATTATTTCACATTTCCTCTTGCCCGTCTTCATTTGGGGAAGGGTATAAATTTTAATTTATATCAGTTAAGGTTAAATTTTAATTTAAACTTAACATAAAGATTTACTTGTGTTATTTGTATTAAAAATTTGAATTTTCTATCAAAACACTATCTTTTCTTTGATTGAGTACTAATTTTAGAATTTGCCTATTTAGAAATATATTTGTTTAAATTTAAATAATTTTATTAAGAAATTTATTAAATAGTTTGATAGATTTTAATTGGCTATTTAAATGTTTTAAAATACAGTTTATTGGTTACAACTACTTGACATTAATCAATACATCATTGATTACTTTAATTATAAGAATACAAAACTACCCCTAAATAAAATAACAAAATGAATTTAAGTAAATTTAAAACTAAGAAAGAATATACAGAAAGCTTTAGAAGTAAGTTAGATTTTCTTGATAATGAAGATAAGAAACTACTTCTTAATATTATAAACACGAATTGGTCTTCACACTTTGAAATAACGCGTATTTTAAATGCAAAAGAAGGTGATCACTATTCTGTTCTTGGATTAAATTATGATTCAACCCTTAAAGATATAGAAGAAAGATATTTAGAACTACTTCCGTTAGTTCATCCATATAAGACAAAGATTGTGGGTTCACAGGATGCTATTGTAAAATTACAACACGCTTACTATTCACTAAATTCAGAGGAGAAAAAATTTTCTTATGATACTAAAACCAGACAGTATTTACATCCTTCTGTTCCAACTGGTTATGTAACAGCAACATCTTACCGTTCATTCAATTTCTTTGAGCTTTTCAATGGGTTTAGTCTTCTTAGAACAAACAACATTCAACAATCAGGTTTTAATTGGCAGTTTCTTTTTAATTCTGAAAGAAACTTATCTGATTCTTTTACAAACTTAGAAAGAATAGTAGATTTACTGATTGATAGAAACAATTTATTTAATAGAAGAAATTTTATAAGAAGAAGTGGCACTAACACTACCAGAGCTTCATTAATCAAATATTTTTTTATCATGATTTTTTTGTTTCTTTCTGTTAAAATTGCCTCAATGTTTTAATAGAATGTTTTATCAAATAAAATATTTTTATCAAATTTTTTAACCCATAAAATGTCAGTAATTCCAAGTTCAAAGAAATACGCAATAGCAGGATTATTAATACATGCAGCTGGATCTCAAGTAACAGAAGATAAAATTGAAGAAATATTTAAAGAACTTAAAATTAAGTATAATTCAAAGATAGCATCATTATTTGTACACTCAGCCGAATCATATGATTCGTTTATTAGTAGTTCTTTTGGTACTTCAACACCTGTTGCATCAAAAGCAGTTAATAACGCAGTAGTAGAGGAAGAGGAAAGTGAAGAAGAAGAAAGTTCTTCTGGTGTAAGTCTTGATTTTTAAGTAAATTAGTTTGTTAAGTTTTATTTATTTAACTTTTTGACTAACGATTTGCCTGTCATTTCAGCTGGTTTGTCAATCTTCATTAAATAAAGTATTGTTGGTGCAATATTCTTTAATCCTTTGTTCTTTAAACTTTTATCAATCTCGTAATCGTTACTCGTTATAATAAAAGGAACCTTGCTTTTGCTATGAGTTGTACAGGTACCACGTCCACTTCTCATATTTTCACAGTTACCATGATCGGCTGTTATTATCATCAAATAACCGTTTTTTTCACATGCTTCATGGACCATTTTGATTTGATCGTCTAAAATGGAAACTGAATTTTCTGTTGCTATAAAATTTCCCGTGTGTCCAACTAAATCTGGTCCTGCAAAATTCAAAACAATAAAACCTACATTGTTATCCAACACCTTGATAGTCTTTCTTGCTACGTCCTTCATTGCACAGGCTGGTTTTTGATCTAATTTTCCACCTGTCATACTCTGAACCATAATGTGTTGCTCACCATAATTTATATGGTAAGTCATTCCATTAAAATAGTAGGTGACAAAAGGGAATTTTTCTGACTCTGCTAAATGTATATGTGATATATACTTGGAAGAAAGAATCTCTGATAATGAGTGATGAATCCTTTGGTGTGGAAATATGAATACACCAAGTTCTTTCTTATACTCTGTCATTGTAAAAATATTTCTATGTGTTTTCTGAAATTTCTCTACCAATTGAATCATTCCATTCGCCTTTATATTAAAAAATATAATTGTATCATCAGGTTCTATTGTTTCCTGTTTTAGCAATATCGGATCAAAATATTCATCTGTGATAGAATTAGAATAATTTTTGTTAATATCAAATTCCTTTACTTCACCTTTGGTCATCATCATATATGCTGCCTTAGTTCTATCAAGGTTGTTACTACTATCCATAGCATAGAATCTTCCACAAACAGATACAATATTATTGTATTTTTTAAAAAATTTTTTAAACTCACATGGTTCAGTATCTCTGCCATCTGAAATTGCATGTATAAATACTTTGTGATCAGGCAACTCCTTTCTTATATAATTATTTAATTCAGTACAATGATTGGTGCATGAGTGAACGCATCCATCACTTAACAAACCAATTAGATGAATTCTTTTTGTAAATCTGGGAAATAACTGTTTAAGTCTCTTATGAAAATCACCAGTTTTGATAGCATTATTAATCATTTCTATTCCAACTAAATTAATTCTGCCTGTACCAATTGTTAGATGACCCATCTCAGAGTTCCCCATTGTATTCTTTGGTAATCCAACACTTTCCCCTGAGGCATCCAATGTGCAGTTTGGATATTTCTTAATTAGTTCATTCAGATATACTACCTTTTTTGTAGGATCTACAGGTCTGCTTTGAACTGGTATTCCAAAACCATCTACTATTACTAAACATATCTTCTTTTCTGGGTAAGTCATTTTTTATATATAAAGGAGAAGCTTAAAAGTTTTTTTATATTATTTTTTTGATCGATAAATTAAAATTTATTCCTATAAAGGAATCTAAAATATTTTATTCAGCTTTCATCAGTAAGTATTTTTTGCTTAAATTCATTATACTGAGTGAAAATGTATGTTAAATCAACATTACTCTTTTTATCTAAAACCTTTTGAATTGCCCTCTTAAAACATTTGTTAAGTCCTGCCATTTTATCGTTAGTTTTCTTTAAAGTTGATGTTGTCTGTTTTACAGCTAATTTTTTACTGAAAATTCCCTTGAGATGTGAACTGTTATT